GGCGTGAAGTGAACGAGAAGAGCAAGAAAGAAAGAAAAAGAAGAACAAGGCGGGATGAGAAGAAGAAGAAGAAGAAGTTGAAGTTGAAGTTGAGGAAAAAAAAAAAGGGAAGCGAAAGGAGGACGACAAGACGCCGTTTCAGCAGTGAGACTTGAAGGTACTTTTATTCTCATATAAATTTGTATGGTAGAAAAAGTACCTTTAAGTATATAAAGGTAGTCACGTGATGATGAGTAAGCCACCAGCGAAGAAGAAGATGAAGAAGAGAGACAGAAGAAGAGACAAAAGAGACAGAAGGAGGATGATAGAAAGAGGATGACGGGAGGGACGACAAGGCGAGACGAAGGCAAGATGAAAAGAAGGGGATAGAGAGAAACAGGGCGGACGAGGAGAAAGGGACTCCCGGCCACCCGCAGCCTGAGTCGACTTGATGCGCCTCTCGTTCTCGAACTTGTCAACGGGAGCTGATGCCCTCGACCGACCTTGATCCCAGATAGAATCTGGTCGTCGCCTTGTTGGACGCGATGTGATGGGCTCGGGAAATGCAAGGCATGGGGAGGGGTCTGTTTCAGACTCTGCTCCTGACCCGTCGCCCCTGTCCTCCTCTCCGGCCCTCGCCCAGGATGGCTCTTAGTGACACCACATAAGCAACCATCACAGCGCCAGACCGGAGAGAAACCAGAACAAAAAAGAAGAGAAGAGGAGGAGGAGGAAGGGAGGGGAACTCTCCTCCTCTGTCAGAACATGGAAGTTGACTCCGTACGGAGCGTTGTACGCGTTTGACCTGATGGTTAAACGCTTGGTACGGGGTTCTCGCCTACACAGCTGATACAGGCAGCGACCACGGGGTACAGAGTTATGTTTACCAATGGAATATAAACATATGTTTAAGTATGGAGCATGCTATGTATGTACTCCTATGTATGCGCAGTCGTGATCCGATCTGATCTCATCTGCTGGGCTTCCCACGATCGTTGTCCAGCTAGACTTGGTGCTAGCGCAAGCTCCGCCTGCTTAACCGTACATAGTACGTACATAAGACATCTAATTTAATTATAGCTTCTCTAGTCTGGATCGCTTGCCTGGTCTTTCAGACCTGGCATCCGCGGGTGTCGGGTCTGGCTATCCCAAACCTGCACGAACGCACCTGATCAGTCCATCTTGACCCTTGTGCAAAAAAAAAAAAGCCAATTCGCCTGATGAAGTGTGTGCTTCGTTCACAGTACATATATACACACTTACCTACATAGTATACATGGACTTGGACATGGTCTTCCTCATCAGTGTCAGCTTTTTTTTTTTCTCCTGGCATAGTCTAAAGTGTGTATATACATGAAATCCTGGGCATGAACAACAACAGGAAGAA